CCTTCATAAAGCAAGGCTTTGGGAGGTGCCCAAAAGGACATTAAGATGGGTGCCCAAAAGGAGGCTGAGCTGAGAAGCATAAGAAATGGAATTGTGATGAAATTTTGCCAGAAGGTAATATTTCTGAGGTTTGATATTTCAGGAGGCAATAGACGATTAGTATTTTTAAGTCAGTCTAAATTATTATTGGGTTTTTTGGTTGATTTGTTGCTAATTGCAATCTGAAATGACACAATCTGTAATCCTTTTTTTGTAGTTACACAAAATCTCATGTCAACCTGAGGATATTAAGAGTGAAAGGATGGAGTTTAGCTTGTCAATCAGGTCAGAGCCTGATGTTGCCTCCTTGTGGGTGTGGCCTTCTCATGAGGACTCTTCCTCTCTTCCTCCCTGCAGGCTGGACAAACTGTGTGCTTCACCTTCCTGTTGACAAGTCACATGGCACCACGCTGATGGCAGCCAGAACCCTGGAAATGCATCCACCATCACTGGATCCACAAGCTTTTCCACTCACCAGCCTTGATCTTCCTGCATTTAGCATCATTGCAAGTGGCTACATTAGTCTGAAGAGGAATTTATGGACTAGTATTGGCTTATAGGCTAATATAGGAATTGTGGACCTTATCTGAACTGACTGGAATGTTTTCTTAATATACAATTACTCTTTGATATGAAGCTCTCTCATACATATATGAATGTCTCTGAATTCATTTCTCTATTAAAACCAGACTAGTACTCAAACTGTGAGCAGTTTGACTTTTGAGATTCCAATCCTCTGTGTGTGAGAAAGAGAAAGAGTTAAAACCATTTTAAAGAAAGTTAGAAGTCAATAATATATACAGTTTTGTAGGAGATTACTTCCATGAGTCTATGAATATATTCACATGTCATTAAAATAAATTTAAATCACATTTTAATGACTTCATGCTCTTCTCCTATTTGCTTGTGTCATAATTTATTAAGTCTTACCTTTTTATTTGGACATTTAGGTTACTTCTAATTTCTTGCTGTCTAAACTGAAGATACATTTTGTCTGATCAATGCTTACTAATTCTAAATAAATATCTAGATCTGTGATAATTATAGCATCAAATATTATGCATAAATCTAAGGATTTTTATTGTCATTTCTAATTTATCCTTCAAAAAAGGCAATGCCATCTTAAAAAAAAAAGGTATGTGTTTCCCATTTTGAAAGTCCCATCATACCTGTGCATGAACCAAAAAAGAACAATGGGTGGTTTAAATCAGGACAGGTGTGCAAAAGACTTGTATCTTCTCAATATACTTATTTCATCTGTGTGCTGAGCAGATACTATGAGGAGCCGGACTTTATGAAGAGGAAAGCAGCATAAGAATTAGAGGAAGTCTTGTTAACAATCTTCGAGATGCAGGTGACACAACCTCGCTTGCTGACAGTGAGGAGGACTTGAAGCATTTGCTGATGAAGATCAAAGACTTGGGTCTTCTGTATGGATTGAATGTTAATGTAAAGGAAACTAAAATCTTCATTGGACCAATAGATGATAACATGACAAAAAGAGTTGAGATTGAAATGGTCAAGGATTTCATTTTGCTTAGACTCACAGTCAATGCTCATGGAAGCAGCAGAAAAGAGATAGAACAACACATCGCATTGGATAAATCTGCTGCACAAGACCTCTTTCAAGTGTTGCAAAATGTTACTTTGAGGACTAGGCGCACCTGATGCAGGTCATGGTGCTGTCAGTCTTCTCGTACGCATGTTAAAGTTGGACATTGACTAGGAAGATCACAAAAGAATGAATGCATTTGTATTTTGATGCCGGCAAAGAATATTGAAAGTATCATAGACTGCCAGAAGAATAAACAGATTTTTTCTTGGAAGAGGTATAACCAGAATGCTTCTTGGGAGCGAATATGGTGAGGCTTTGTCTCAGTTACTTTGGGCAGGTTACAGGAGAGACCATGCCCTGTAAAAGGACATCATGCTTGCTGAAGTAGAGGGTCACTGAAAAAGAGGAAAACCATCAAGGGGGTGGATTGCCGTAGCGGCCACCACAATCACATCAAACATCACAAGAATTCTGAGGGTGGCGTAGGGACCCATCAGTGCTTCCTTCTGTCCGGCAGAGGGTCAGAATGAGTCATAACCAACTCTGGGGACCTAACAGCAGCACCCTCACCTTCATACAACACTCCTTGATAGTCAGATATGGGCACAACTTCTTCAAAAGCATGAACACTATAACTACACACATTAATGGATATTATCATCACTATTCCTAATATTTCTAGTCGGAATATTATTTGAACAATTAATTTTATTCCATTCACGTTCATGTTCTTCCTAACTTAATTTTTATAATATTTCCAAGAGACAGATATTTTAGTAATTCCATTTTAGGTAGGTAAAGATAAACCTACAATGCAAATAACTTGCCTGAAATAACATGACTAATAAATTGGAGAACAACTAAATGTGTCAATTGTCCAACCTAAGAATCTGAGGATTAAAAAGCACAATGGTAACACGTTTTATCAGGGTGAATTCCTCACTCATTCTATTGCTCTAATATTTAACTCAGATTAGCCTTAGTGTAATAAAAGCCCCATTGTTAATAAGTTACTATTGATTTTTCCTTGAAATAGACCAGGATGATTATCATCAACCTTTGTTTTCTTTCAGTCAATGAGATGCCATTATCTATAACCAGTGACCACATGGCTGACTCCAATCCAGGACAACACTATGTGTGCTAGAGAACTGTGCTCCACAGAGCTTTCAGTGGAAGCTGATGGCCAGGCCTTTCTTCCGTGGTGCCTCAGGATTTATACAGACTCCTAATTTTTTTAGTTAGCAGCAAAGTGCTTCATTTTGCATCCTCCACTTCTGCACGGGTACACATGGGATTGTCAGGAATCAGGAAAATATTTAAATTAAAAGAAAAATTTAACAAATTAGATGGGCACTTGACCCAAGGAAATATTTCAGTCTCCCTAAAAAACCTCATAGTTTCAGTATGGCCGATGAGTTCTGTGTGTCCGTTGCAGTGAATTGGCAAACGCAACAAAGAAGAGGGCTGCGGCCAGGATGGATGGTGTCATTTGGTCTCAGAACAACTTGAAGAAAGGTGGAGGGTGGGGCCAGATGTCTGATCGCTGCCTTGGGGCAGTGGACCTCAGAGTGGTGTGGTGTTGGATTGTCCTCTCTACTAAAATGAGAGGAAGGTACACATAGCCCTCTATCATTTTTCTTCAAATATTAATAATATATTAAGAATTATTAAAATTAGCAAAAAAAATAACAAAACTGATCAAAGAGAATGAAATTTAACCAAATTTAAATGTTCTGGTTATTTCTTTTGATGTTCATTTTTCCTTGCAGAAAAAAATGTTTATTGTGTTCTAACATAGCAATACATCATTTAAAGGTTATAAGCAATTTTTGTTTCATAAAATTATTTAAATGGAGGTCAAGCAGTTACACATTGAGCTGATAACCACCTATGTAATGTTTATTTTTGGTATAACAAAATCAATTTATTGGTCAGGCATACTCAAATAAATATAATTGAAATAATTTTTGTGTTTTCCAAAGTTTCTTACCTTGAATGATAAATTATATGACTGCTTTAATAAAAAGGGACTATTTCCATTTATTATTCAAAAGTCACTGCAGGTTAGTAAAATAAGTGCAATTCTCATAGGGTTGTCAGCCTTGAGAATCAAATCTCCTTTGGGGTTTTTAAGACACAATTAAAAAAATAAATCCCTGTATGGCAGTTCCTTAGTCCTATGATTTGTGCATCTGATCAGAAAGCTTACCAGAAATTTTTGTTTTGTTTTTTAATTTGCAACTTTACAATAGGTAACATATTCAAACTCTTAGTAGCAGATACTGGCCATTGTCATGTTGGGAGGTAGCAATTGCTTTTTCACTACTCTCACTCTTACCCTGATGCCTCATCCATCTGCTTCTGATCCATGGGCTTCCAAAGAGCCCTGCAAGTGTTCTAGAGACTCAATCACATTAGTACAATCAGATGGCAGGATCTGGGTAGTCTTTGAAGTAGGCCAAACGTTTTCAGTTCTAGTCAGCTCTACAAAATGTAGAAAAGATTTCCATACTTCTTCTACAGACTGTACCAAATTAGGTGCCTTGCAATTCAAATTACGTTCATTATCTACGTCCCCATTTAAAACTTCAAACAGTCAGATGGCCTGTGGAGCAGAGAAATGGTAACGAGCTGGCGCCTGCCAAAGAGAGGGTAGTAATGACTTTGAGGTCATGATCTGGCAGAATGCAGAAGGAGAAATAGCTGGCAAATATCAAAGATGCAGAAGAAGAAAATGAATCCCAAGGATTTTTTGAAACACTGCCACTACGAGAATATAAGTAGTTTTGAAAGAGTATATTAGAGTTATGCATAAGAGAAAATGCTACTTTTTAAATGAGTTTCATGACTAAGTAAACCTGAATGATCCTACAGCTAATGTGAAATGAAGAATAGAGTGAAAAGGGCAGAGAAGGATGTGTCCTCCCTCTGTTAGATACACAAAGACATGTCCAGAGCTCATCACACCTGTGCGTAGGAAGCCCTCTTATTTTTAATTTACAATTCAGAGGAGAATCAGCTAATAATATGCAACAAAAGGCATTATTCAGATATTTCTGAGTTTTTGGTTTGAACCAAACACTTGTGGAGACACTGGCAATTTAGTAAGGAACAAAACAAGCCCTAACCTTGTGAAGTATATATTTTAGTAGACGCCAGGCAAATAAATTGGTTCAAAGATGAGACTCTCCACTTATGCAAATAATTACAGACTCAGAAACCCAGAGAGGCTGCTCCACTCTATCCTGAAGGGTTGTTGGTAGTAAATAATGAGTAGGCCACAAAAATAATGTGCTGTCACATATATAAAGTCAAAGGTTAACAAATAACAAATTCTATTTTGCAGTGATGGTAGGAGAAGATAGTTGGGTAAGAGTCCATAGGAAGTGAGGTTGGTAAATACCTGGGGAAGGAGTTCCAACCATTCATTGCAAAGGCCCTGCACCAGTAACAGGCTTGTCTGAGTGAGGACCACCAGAGTACAGGTTGCCCTGGGTTGGACTGAAGAAAAACAAGGGGGATGGGAAAGGAGGTTAGATTTAACCAGATTCAAGACTATTACAAAACACAAAAAAACGTTAACTCAGTTGCTGAACTAAGATCTGAGTGTGAAAGTCAATGCGTTATATATTGTCAAAGCTCTCATCACACTGGAATGCAAATTTACCTTTTCAGATACGTACATACGCTCACATAGATGACGTCTTTGGTTTTCTCAATGGTCTGTTCTCTCCTTCAGCCAGAGTTTCCTTTTCAAACCTACCACGAAAGGTGTCACATGGACTCAGAGCCCCCGCATATGCAGACGTTCTTCAGGACCCCTCTTTGTCTAGCAACCCCGTTCCTCCATCCATAAGAGACAACTAGCCAAAATCTCTCTCTCTGCAAAGCTTTCTGGGACCTGCTTCATGGCTTTACAAACACAATCACATGTCTCTTTTGGGTTCACTCTATATACTCTAGTCTCACTACAGGTCTGGAATTGTTCACACTCAAACACACACACACACACACACACACACACACCAGCACCATTACCCAAACACACATACATGCATGCACTTCGTTGTTCCAAAAAAATGAAGCAATTGGTTATTCAAAAACAGCCAAATAGTTAACTTTGATGACAACATTGTAAACAGAACCCCATGGACATACATTATTTATTGACCGTCTTTACTGACCTTTCCTGATGACCCTTAAAAACATGTTAAAAACACAACGAAATAAAAAAACCTCACTGGACAAGATCAGCCAATAGGTATTATTTGGTTATCTTAATTTAAAAAAAAAGAACTTCTATAGTTTTATTTCTTTCTGGATTACATCAAGCGAATTTCCATGAAAACAAAGCCCAGTAAAGGTTAAATTAGTGAAAACCACCTTGCACTGTATTCTTGTTCACCTCACCCCTTAAAATATCACTTATTCATAGAGTTCTTCCTGAAACGTCCACATAAGAAAGTGACCCTCAGAGGTCCTGTTCTTACTAACAGACAGAATATTTTCATCTGATTCTTAAGTGCCCTTTCTCTCAGAGAGAAGTGGAGAAAATCCTCTAGAAGTAATCTGGTTCCAGCAATTAAAACTGAGACAAACAGATAGGACACATGAACCAGTATTTCCAAGCAGAATGGGCCAATCCACACCCAGAAACATAGAGTGAATTTCCAAGAGGCTAGGTCTCAATTCTCTGCAGAGGCTGTTGGAGTCCAGCTTCATCTTCTTTCAAGTTATTAATAAAGGCACCAAATAGCACCACTTCCTATCTCCACCCCAGGGCCCCCCATTAACCTTACTCCATTCAAACAGAACATACCCCTTTCTGGGAGCTTAACCGGCTTTTAATCTGTGACAAGATGTTACTCCCTCCCCCATGGTTATTTATTTCTATAGTAACTCATATATGGAAGCCCTTATCAAGAGCTGAACACAAAAAAAGAAAGATAAAAGTTATATTTAAAAATGGTCATTAACAACACTTTTATTAATCCATTCTTTCACTAAAAATCCCCACAGGTTAGAAATACCACAAGTTTCAGGGGCAGCCGTGAGGTCTTATCTTATCAAATAATGCTTACTTTGAGAATTACAAAGTTGGAATTGTAAATACCCATGCTGATATTCCTTAATTAAGCTCCTCGTTATATTCAAAAGCCTAAATCAAGAATCCTGCCTTGAAATGGCTGAACTCTCTTTTGAAAGGAAGTGATTTCATTAAAAGGCAATGCTGAGATACATGTAGAACTCTCATGAATCCCTATACCCAGGCGAGCCCAGTTCCGTAATTTTGTGTTCCAGGAGAAAAAAATTAAGCCCTAAGTTATATCCAATTGCTATGATACTTAAATATTGTTTAGTCTTCTTGTAACCTATTTCTTCTATGAAGTATCACTTGATGGATTTCCATTCTCTGCATGGTGCAATGGTTAAATGCTTGACTAATACAGAAAGTCTAGTGATTTTTTTGTATCTCAGTTTTCCTTCAGCTTCAGCAAGGCCCTGGAGTTTGCTTCTGGTAGTTGCTCTCGTAGTTTGAGATTGGGCTAGTGCAGAGCACTAGTATCAGTAAGAAAACTCACTGAACAGATCCCCCCAAATAAGAGTTCAATCTCTTACAGTTTTTTAAAAGTGGTTTCAATTATGAATATTTTTTGGAGAAAACCATTTTTTCCAGAAGTTCATTACACAGAAAAAAATAGCTAAGATATTACATTAGAAACGTAGACAATTAAAAAAGCTTTAATTTAGAATTGAAATTAAAACATGTTCAGTTGACGATAGTATATAATTCTTTGAGACTGCACAGCCAAATTCAATTGTATTCCTTTTTAAAGTCTTTTCATCCATTCTCGCTCTCTTTTCCCCAGCTTTTCTCTTTCTCACTACACACACACACACACACACACACACACACACATACACATCCTTCTTGAAAAACCTGTTCTCCCCATGTGTCCATGACCTATTGTTTTTGGTTCTCATCCTGTCTCTGTTATTTCAAATAATCAGAGGATATGCCAATCTGAGTGTTTCAATGGAATCCTAAAACAGCATGACAGAAATTGAACTCAGTTTTTATCCCTTGGCCGGATGCTACGTCTGTGTTCTTTAGTCCAATTTGTAGTCACGTGATGTTCCTTAGGACCAGATTTCAAATGTTCTATATTTAGCTGGTTGCTCTCTCATGTCCCCCAGTTTATAATCATTTACACATTTTAAATGCTGTCCAACAATAGCTTATGCATGCATGTCTTCTGTCTTGTGTACTCAAAACTGCCCCCCACGCCATCCTCAAATCTATTTGAACATTTCTCTAAAATGTTTGAGTAGTTTATTCCTAAGCATTCTCCTGTCTTTACGCTTCTTTCACCCATTGTATACTCTGGAGCATCACTAATCATTCTTACTCTTCTAAGGGAATTATTTCCTTTGTTCACTAGTTTCCCTGGAACACGGGAGAAGAATAAAAGTGATAATGAACTGTGTAAGGGGAAATCCCAGGACAACATAGATCAGACTACAATAAGGTGGAAAATCACAATAAATTATGTCTGAAGGAGGAAACAAAATGCATTTTCAAGTAATACTGAATATTGCCACGGATATAACACAAACTGTGATAACTCAAGTTCAAGAGTTCTAAAAGGACAACTGAAGTCAACCTAAAGAGGAAAAGTTGTCTCACTATAAGGGCAATATAAGGATAAGTAAAAAGTATTGCTACAAAATCAGAGAAGCATTGATTCAACAAAAATATCAAAATGTGAAGCTATTGTTTCTTAATGTATCCTCTATATGGGAATACACTACAGGTAGTCTTTCCATTTGAACAATACTCTCCTGAGAATTCTGCACTCTGATTTGGACCAGGTCAAAATGTCTATTTGGTCAACCTCCAAGGACTAAAACTGTGCTTTTAAAAAAATGTTCTTTAAATTTAGGGAGCAAAACCGGAAAAATCTGAAGGGAAAGATCAGGAATGTAGGTTGGATGAGATAAAGTTTACCAATGAAATTCTCAAAGGGCAGCCCTAGCTCTCATTGAAGAATGAGGGGATGCATTGTTTTAGTGGGGGTGTGGGGGGGGATGACCCCACTAAGGATTTCTGGCTTTTTTCTCACCACTGTAGTCTTCACTTAAAAAAACAAAAACAAAGTGCTTCATTAATAAACCTGAATGATTGTCCTGTGTGCTTTAGAAGGAATACCATTTTGGAAACAACAATAAAAAATGAATAAATAAAAACAAAAACCTGTCTTGAACTGAATGAGCCCACTACATCGTCTTTCTTAAAATGTACTGTTTTGATTGAATCCTTTTGAAAAACCCTAAAAAGACTAAGACAAGAGTATTAATGAAAGACATATCTTGACTGAACACAGAGATATGCTTAAATATATTTTTGAAATAAATCAATTTATTTATGAATTAGAACACTGGTAGGAATATTCTCTGACTTATCCCCATGTCGTTTTTGCTGTTGTCAGATGGAGCTGAATCCTTTCCGACTCAAAGTGACTTTATGTACAACAAATAGAAACACAGCCCTGTCCTGTATCATCTTCAAAATGATTGTTCTAGTCCATCATTGCAGTCACTGTTTCAATCCATCGTGTCTTGGGTCTTCTTCTTTTTCATTGTCCCCTACATTAAAAAGCATGTTGTTCTTTTCCAAGGACTGCTTGATCTCGCTAGCATGTCGAAAGTATGTGAGATGATGTTTCACCATCCTTGTTTCTAAAGAGCATTCTGGGTGCACTTCATATAGACATTTATTTGTATTGTTGGCAGTCCATAGTACTTGCAATAACTGTGTTAGTCTGGGTTGACCAGAGAAACAAATCCAGAGACACTGATATGTGTATAAGCAGGAACTTTATTTCAGAGAGTAATTGTATATAAAGAAAACAGCCCAGCCCAGTCCAGATCAAGTCCATAAGTTTGATATTAGCCCACATGTCTGATACCAGTCTATAAATTCCTCTTAGGCTCACACAACACATGCAATGACACCAAATTCTGGAAGATCACAGGCCAGTGGGTGGAAAGTCTTGTGGATCCAGTGGTTGTGGAAGCATCTCAGCGCTGGCTTGGGTCTCCACATGGCTCCTCCAGCTCCAGGATTCTGGTTCCATCAGTGTAGCTCCATTTGGCTTGTCAACAGGAATGTCAAGCAGAGAGTGTGTATCTGGCCTGTGTCATCCCTCCGAATGAGGTCATGAAGCTGCCATCTGATCGACAAGCTAAACTCCACCCCTTGCTCAAGTTGAGATAGATTATGTAACTGCCACAATATCCTTCACCAACTTCATAATCTAAATGTGATTCTTCTTCAGTCTTCAGATTCAATGCCCAACTTTCACATGCATATTGAGATGATTGAAAGTATCATGGCTTGGGTCAGGCACAGTTAATCTTCAAAATAACACTACTTTTTAACACTTGAAAGACATTCTATGCTGAATGCAA